ACGAGGAACAACAGGTGCGTGTGTGTACTGTACTAGGTATACGATGTCATTTTGTAGGCGTTGCGGAACTTAACATGATTGTGTAGATTTAGATGAGTAAGGGGTGTGACTTTTTTGTATGAGTTGCGAGGACGCAACTAGGGTTGTTTGGACTGAAGATGTAGCACGCTACATCTTTAACATTTAACGTAGAATCTTTTCGGCACGGCTTGGTCCGGCAGTCTCCCCCCCCTCGCAGTCCGGTCACAGGCCTAGCCCTCCATTCACTCACCCATCGCTGCTACCGGGTGACGCACAGCTGAGCGGAGCGCTGCTGCTGCGCTCCCCTCCCCTCTCATTATTCACCCCCCCCCCCCCCAGTCACCAGGCCCACCATCCCCACACATCACTTTTCTCCATCTCCCGCAACGAGCACTGTCCGTGGGAATAGCCGCAGTAGACACATCTGCGAGAAGACGATGCCGCCTACATCAGTACGAACCGTCGAGGCACAGCTGAGTCAACAAGCTACGTCAGGACCGCGGCCGGCGGCGGCGGCGAGCGAGCACGTTAAGGTACTCTGTCACTTGTCACGTACTCTGTCAGGTACCACAACAGCTGCACCGCGCTGAGTCACATGGTGGGAATGGCACAACCAGGAAGATCCTATGGCAAGCAAAAACGCAGTAGTTCCAGAGGTCTTCGCTATGGGCAGCCGTTAAACTCCCATTAAGACGCGCGCTTTTGGAGACAGCTACCGCAGGATGAACGATTCGAATTCCAACAAGTAACAGCTGGATCAGTAACACTGTCAACAGCTCGTGGACCCACGCCGAGGACAGATAACGGCTGGGAGCGCTGGATCAGCAAGATACGTCATCAGATCATGGAGCAGTGTAAAGGATGGATGCCGGCTGGAGCACACAGCCTCCTTTGTCGGGGTACAACAACCCAGGGTGAGTGACCCGGCAGAACGCCTTGAAGGTGACCTCCACAACAAGCCGCAAGCAATGACCTGTAGTTCCAGAGATCTCCGCAGAGGAAGAAGGCGCTGCGTTACGGCCACGCCCCGGTACGGTGGGCGGAGCAAGAGTGACGTCACAGGGGCGTTGGCGGCAGACGAAACGGAAGGAAACAAAAGTTTGAATAAAATCAAATTGAAGAATCAAAATTAAAACTCGAAAATCACAAACCTTTCGGGGATTGTTTTATGCCAGCGATTATTAAAATGATAAAGCACTCAACACGAAGACGATTCGACGGCCAAACATTGCAGGCACAGAGGAGCAAGGTGACTAAACAGGACAGAGGGCGCCATCTTACGGCCCCACCCACCAGAAGAAGGCAGAGGAAGATGACGTCGCAAGGGCGTGGCAGTCACCCCTCCCCCCCCCCCCAACTATAAAAGGGTACGCCACCCAACCAGAGGGGAATCACAGTCGAGCAGCCGAGAGCCACAGTCCACAGCTGGAGCCGGAGACGCCATCTGGGAGCCGCCGTCAGTCCGGGGTCACCCGCGAGAAGCCTCTTCAGTTCGAGTGATCAGAGCCGGAGGACAACCGCCGACGCTTGAGACCACACTGAGAAGCGGAAGCGCAGAGAACTCCAGAATGTGAGTGTTGTTGAAAAGTCTGCTCAATCCCAATCCTTGAACCCCCCCCCCCTCTGCCCGGTTGCCGTGCCGTGACGACTGCCAAACATTTTCGGTTGCCATAAAATGCACTCTCAATTGGAATTGGAAAACTTAAATTACTTTGAACTTATTGGTCCAGACACCCTAGTAGCATATTAGGATCTGAATTTCGAGGTCATGTCAGAGTCGCCAGCAAATCGTTATCGTCCGTTGGAATTCACGATTAGGCCGTGAGCGAAATCCTAAAATTTGAATAAGCAGCTCAGTGTCACGAACGCTGAAATTGATGACAGAATGCGTGACAACATTGAATATGTCATTGTCTTTGGTCAAACTGGTTCGTTCGATTTATTATAATCGGCGGTGGTCAAGTGCGATTTGAGGTTGGAATTCGTTTGTGAAATTAATGGTGTAGATTCGTGCTTAATTCACTAAAAGTTGCATTGCGAAATTATTGGTAATATTGCTGAAGGAATTAATTGCGAAGTCGAAATCAATTATTGAACAGGTAAATACGGTTGAAAGCGAATGTAATGTTTTAAGGTGGCGACTGATTCATGCGATCGATCTATGAATATGGCTATGAGTTATGATTTTCGACAGATACGAATGCTTGAGCTTACGGCGGAATTTCTTCTGTTACTTAGGTGCAGAGTTGTGAGCAGTGGTTAGAGGTTGACGGTTTGACACTTTGCGACTTTAGATGGTCACTTTGCGTCATTTAAATTGCGAAATGTCGAGTAACAGGTAGATGTAGAATTGTTTGTGATTAGAGCTAATATGCGACTAATATAGGTACCGATCGTTGTGCTTTTGTAGAATAAATACTAGAAAGGACCATCTTTGTTGGGGAACGATTAAATGGGACAGGAATTTAATTAAAAAAAAAAAACTTACTTCGAATGGAGCTGATGAGATGTCGAACAGGGAGATATTGCAGCAATATTTTACCAGATTCACACTCACTGACACATCCGGTGAATCTACCCGGCCAGAAGAGACAACACACACGAGCACTGTACCGCGAGTGTTGACGCGTCCATAACGGCGTGACTGTGACTGACGGTGTCGACGCGGCGCCGGCCGGCGGCCGTGGTATTCGTCGTCCCCGACGCGGGCGTTGAGCCGCCAGAGGGCGCGAGGAGCAGCCACAACAGGGGCAGTGGGTTAGCCGTAATTGGGGCGCGTGCGGTAGGTGGAGGTCATCGTATAGAAACATGGTTAGTTGTGGGAAGTTGCAACGGGATAAGAACGTAAACAGTTAATGCATAATTTCAAATACGAAATGCTATGATAATATCTAGGACTGCAGTTCTTCTCATATGCATTGTTTACTGTTAATAATATGATTTAAATTAGGTTTCCTCTGAAAAGCTAGCGACCCCTATGACAATATTTTGGAACTCTATAAAGATAATTTGTATAGGTAACTAATAGTCCATCAGAAGCTATCGAGCGAAATTCAATGAGTCGTTTCCGTTTGAGCATTCAGTAGTTTACTATGATACGGTGGATCACAACCAGACGACAAATCGATGCGTGTTAATTGGTTCAAGATCATATGTCTGATTAAATTCAAGAGCGGTTCAAGGTCTGCTAGATTTTATACGAGAACTGATGATTACGATTTGGTTTGGATAAATAATGCGTTTCTGTTATTCGCGTTCTTGCGAGTTAGCGCCAATAATTACTCCACCAATATCGGCACAGGGCATTGTGAGGCACAGACGGCTTGTTTGCCCGTCTCCTATGGCGTAACGTTTACCAGCATGACTGTATGAGACACAGATGCACTTCTCTAAACCCACGTCCAGACCGGAATATTAAGAGGGACACACCGTCACGTACGCAGGGCATATGCACGTTTTCCGCCAGTGGTACCGGCCACTGTTAATTTTCCCGCTTAGGTAACACTGGGTGAGAAGGTAGTGAGAGGTTTCTACGGCAGGGGGAAGGGGGAAGATTGGCACAGTGCAGTGGAGAGTAAGTTATGCCAAAGGCAAGAAGCCGAAGGTCAGGGGTGAGTCACCCAAAGGGCGGATAAGGCGAGCCGTAGTGTCCCGGATAAGTCCTCATACTTATTTCGTAAAGGTACTCTAATCGGTACTGGACAGCCTCAGGGGAGGGAAGAATGTACTCCAGGACACGTAAGGCCTTGAAGAGTAAATCCCACGGTTTAAGGAGAGTTCCTGAGGAGAGTTCCAGGATATGAACGGTGGTCCCTGGGTCGTGAACGGAGGTGTTACACGCGGACCGGAAGAGGGCATAGGTAATCTCTCCCGGATAGAGAGATAAGTCGGATATAAATCGTGTATGTGTGTACCATAAGTCTATCGGACGTGTAGTGAATCCCATACATTAGTAGGGTGGATATTTGTGCAATTATTCTGGACGGCCCTGCGATAAGTATCTTTGTCGCCGGTTAGCGGAGCATGCATATGGATTTCGGAAAGAGACATTTATCTCGCCGGGGAGATCGTTGTTGATCCGACGCCTAGCACTATCGGAGGGAATTTTGAGGGCTACGAATTAAATTTGGGTGAATACATGAAAGGTGAATGTAACGCGAGCAAGGGTGTGAGAATGGTGAAGGATGAATCTTAGAATAAGGCCGATAGGAATTGCGTAGAATTCGGTTACGGCAGTCGAGCTAGCAACCCTCGAGGGCAACTAAACTATAGCAACGCTAATACGAATTAAGTGGGCAGTTTTCGTAATGGGGAGGCCAGTGATATAGGAATGGGTGACTGGACGAATGATCACATTCAATTAATCAAGGTAATTACCACCCATAAGTTTGGCAGTGGTCATCGGGACTTCGAATGCCCTGTCCTTCACCTGCCCAACTGTGCCGCAAACCCAGCTGATCGGATCCCTCTATCCCTATCCGAGCAGTGAAGAAGCATCTCGTGCATCATGGTCTATACAATGAACAGAATTATCAAGCCTCTAAATTAAAAAGCATCTTCCATCAGATGTATTTGTATGCAAGGTGGATCTCAACATCTATCTCAGCATCTTCATCAATACCTGTATCTCTCTCTAGATCTCTCTCTCGGGATCTTTTCCAAGACTCTCAAGCTCCCCTGTTCTACTAGTTCAACCATCGAGTTCATTACAGCAGCAAATAGTTCTCTCTCTTCTGCTAAACTAGCCGAACGACAGAGGACTGCGGTTTTGATCAACCGCGATGATACAGCTTTTTCTATTCTTCTTCTCCCCTAATTCACCTTGCTACAGAATAAGGGCACCAAACGCTTCTAGGGTTAGTGGCGCCACCTAGAATCATCGCCAGGTGGGGTTCTGACCACGCAGATCTACAAGTTCGGATGGTTTAAGCATATTGACGGAGTCCCTTGCTAGGCTGGTCCCACACCAATCCCCTCACCTGATAGTAGACGGTATCGGGCGTATCGGCGTCTGGCGTCCACTGCAGGATGCCCGGCTGGCCCTCCTCACAGTCGAGCTGCAGAGTGCGCTGATAGGCTCCGAACGAGTTGTAGCCGGCGGCGGGCGGTCGGCGGCGGCTGTCCACTCGCCACTGACACAGCCGACCAGTGGCCGTCGGACGGGCCACACCCGAGGCGTCCGTCTCCACGCCCGCCAGGACGCGCACTCGCTGACGGAACGAGGGAGGCAGGGGGTAAGGGGAGGTTGAGCTGGGCACGTCAGTTGATACAGAGAACACACACACGCTGACGGACCGAGGGAGGAGGGAATATAAGGGCCAAGGGGAGGTACGAGTAGACACCTATCCGTGCTTCTATCCTCAGGATACTGAAATCCTTCTCCTCCACGCCACAACCCCCTTCCGGGCTGGACAGGCAACTTTATGTCATGCGGGCTGCTCCCTTGGAGCGGCACCGCTGCTCCCGAGGGAGCGCACCCCGTAGCCGGGTGCAGTGAGTGCCTTGGGGCTGGGTGGCCTGTCCTCTGGACGGGCTCAGCCCCGGCGACTCACTAGGGTGCCTGCCCAGACCAATGTCTCCCCCTAAATCCTATCATCCTTCCGGCTCTGCAATGGTCTTGTCGACCGAAAGGGCCTAACCCAACAAAACAAAAAACAAAACAAAAGTACGAGTAGAGCCGTGAACGTCACGTCAGCTCAAGTGCGATATGGATGACACGTGGAAAGACAGGGTACTCAAGGGAGACAGAGCCGCGCACGTCACTTCAGGGGTGGCACGAGGACACGTGAGAAGCTAGCGGGCGTTTGGGAAGACAGAAATGTCCAGAAAGATAGTGCAGCTACACTAAAAACAATTTAACCCAAGGCCGGGGAGTAAACCGGTGTTTCGCGGGTACCCCTATCCGCAACCATTTTTAACCACCCTCCCAGGAGTACAGTAAGGTCCCATTGGGGTGTAGTCGTCCCTGCTCTCTGTGGATATGTTCGCTGACAGCGGTTATATCCGCTCAAAGCAAGTACGACTACACCGCAATGGGACCTAGCACTACTCCTGGGAGGGTGGTTAGAAATGGTTGCGGATAGGGGTACCCGTGAAACACCGGTTTACTCGCCGGCCTTGGGTTAAATTGTTTTCAGTGTATCACATGTGGCAGTGCCTAAATGGGTGGTCTTCATGTCAAAATTTCGAACTTAACCCGCGACCTGGTGGGGGGGGGGCTATTTTTTGCCCCCCCCCCTCCAGACTTTTCGATATATCTCCAGAACCGCTGCGCCGATCGTCACCAAATTTTCAGTATCCTCCCGGACATCAATTTTACACATGGTGACCAAAATTTTTTCCAAAGGCTATGATAGGTTGGCCGGAAATGACGTCAGAGTGACGTCATGTTCTGCCGTTTTCGACCCAAAAAAGGGTTTCGCGGGAAGAGCTGTCAGGCCTATAGCTTTGCAAATACAGAAAAATGATAAAACATAAAAGCTGTAGAATTGACAGGGCTACAAAACTGCTATCTCGGATTTTTGAAATTGTTGGATTTTGACCCCCAAAAATCAAAAAATAAATTTTTTTGATATAATGATCGAAAAATCCAAAAAGTTTTTTGAATTTCGCAAAAACCGGAAGATATGTGATAGTCCTCACCGCCTTCCATCCACATAACAAATTTGAGATTGATACCTCTTTTTTTGTGAAGTTATAGCGAAAAAACTGTTCAAAATTGATGACGTCAAATTTTCAAACTCAATTTTTAGCAATTCTAGACCCCGTAGCGCAAAACAAAGACCACCATTAGACTCCCCGTGACGAGCTGCATCGAATCAATATCCATTTTATGCAAAACTATCAACTTTTAAATTTGACCTTTTTTGGCCTGACCTTGACCTGACCTTCACCTGAACTTCACCAGAAAGTGACCTAAGCCGTACCTGATAGTCTTATAACCAACACCATTGAGTTGGAAATGAAAAATTGGCCATAAAACATGCATCACACAACCTTAGTAAAGTTGGGCTCATGTGACCTGACCTGTGACCCTTGGTGACCTGACCTGTGACCTGCCCTGGTATTGTCAGTGACTTCTAATAGCAACATATCTACTAGGCAACTGACGCCCTATCGCTGATTCTCGACAAAATGCGTTTTCCTCGGTGTTATAGCGCATTCCCTAGAAGACCCGTGAACGGTGAAACATTTCATCTTTGACCTGACCTGTGACGTCATCGGTGACCCCGAGGTCAATGAAATTTGGTTTCCATCGACAAATTTGACAGGCCTTTCGAACGCCGTTTGAATTTTGCGGATCCGTCCAGTAGTTTCGGAGATACGAGGGGGGGGGGGCAAAAAATAGCCCCCCCCCACACCAGGTCGCGTTATAAACAGACCCCACCAGGGCGCGGGTTAAACTTTTCCAGGTTTCCATTCCAATGAGGTCTACGATAGCTGCTGTTTGCCATACTGTACTTACCGCCCGCTCCTGCGGCGTCTTGAACTGGTAGCCTCCCTCGGGGTCGTCTGTGATATAGAACGGGTGGTACTTGGCCGGCCTCTCGGGGTCACCGCCGCCCTCCACCACAAACGTATACGTCCTGCCGCGCACCACGTTAATCTCAGGCACCAGGAGTCCGTTGACGTACCAGGCCACACCCCAGCCGACGCGTCCCGTGATGGCGCTGTAGCCTCGCGGCCCGCCCGTCGGTCCCAACTGCACATAGTAGACCCGGTCGTCGGGTTCGTGACAGGGGATGGGCGGCACGTGCCAGGCCGGAGCCGGCGGCGGCTCGGCAGCAGACTCCGGCGGTCGGTCGGTGCTCTCAGCTGGTGTCACGGGACAGTTCCAGGCGGGGGCGCGGCCAAAGAGGAGCTGCAGGTCACCGCGCACCCGGCGCCGGTGGTAGCCGACGTCCCCTGCCGCGCTGACCGGTCCCACGGCCCAGACCACCGCCTGCCGCTGGTCGGGCACCACGGCCGTGTCCCAGCGGTCGGAGGAGTTCAGCGGCCGCTGGAATGTCAGCATCGAGAAGCCGTTGATGAAGGCCGAGTTCAGCAGGCGCACGCCGCTCTTGCCGCCCTGTGGGAAGAGGATGGTGTCCTGGGTTATCCGGTATATCATTGGTTATCTCATCTAAAGGTTGTAATACCGCATATAGCTATCCGAAGCTAAAAGTAGATTTGTAGATGGCGACACGGTACTTACCTATATGTCCGACGGCTGCCGTTGAATGTGCCGAGGGATTCAATATTAGCCCTCCATCATTTTCATTAGCAGGGCAGGGATGATTATAGTTGTGTGAAGGGAAAAGGCTATCACAATATTATTTGTTAAGCCTTTACATATGATTTATCTCCGCATGGTATCGTTCCTTCACCGATTTGCAGGTCCATTGAAAAAGAAAAATGTCAACTCGCTCACTGCCTAGAGTTTACTGAGCCTACAATGCAGATGGCAGCACTGTCATCTCGAAACCCTCGTCTGCTGTCGTTTCACAAAGGACAACGTCAGGCAAAAGGCAATCACTTCATTAGATGTCCTGGGACCACCTGTCATTGCATCTACCTCGGAACTGGCGTCCGTGCTTTATAGAGCTGCATGCTAAAAGAAAACTCTTAAGACTCGCCTCCCAATCTATCAAGGCAGGCGTCCTGGACTCACCTGATGATGTGTGTCGTGACAGGCGCCCTGGGCTCCCTAAAGTCACATGTCGGAACAGGCGCCCTGGGCTCACCTGAAGCTGTGTATCTGGTCAGGTCCCCTGGGCTCACCTGAAGCTGTGTATCTGGTCAGGTCCCCTGGGCTCACCTGAAGCTGTGTATCTGGACAGGCGCCCATGCTGGCGGAGCACTGGCGTTTCGACTGCAGGAAGTAGTCCTCGGCGACGCCCTGACCCGAGCGGCGGTCCAGCCAGGTGACCACGGCGTCGGCTCCGATCATGACGCTCCTGGTCGGGTGGCCGCTCAGCCCGAACGCCATGTACTGGCCGTCCTCTGTCGGCGGGTAGCGTTACAAACGCGTCAGTATACAGTGTAATGTGTAATGTTTAATGTGTACAGTGTAATGCCACTACCCGCAACCCTGTATACAGGGTGCGTGTTACAACTTACATCAGCATCCATACAGGAAGGGCGCTGCAGGCTCATCGACAATGACATAAAGGGAGGGTATAACTACCAATTACAGACACATAGCAAAGTACCTAACCTGCCTACATCATGGCCAAGGGGAGCGACGTATGGATGAAAGAGGTGGAGAAAGACGCAAAACCGAGGAGAAACAATAATTTGACCCCTAAAACTTAATTAGAATGTTAGCATTATGCCAAGTCATAGGGTGTAGCGAACTGAAAAGAAAGCTTGTTAGAAAACGATTCACCCCGCCAACTTCAATGACAGAGCCATGACATTCCGTATTCATCTTAACACAGACCAACTGCTCATTATTTTGCGGCATACATCTGAGTTCTGAACAAATGAGATTTAATTAAAAATGGATAGAAGAATCACAAGATATTTGATTCTAGTAATTTGACATCACGGTGCATGACTGTTGAACATTGTTTAATCTCTTATATAAAAATAGTCACAGAATCCAACCGCTGGAAATATCTGAAAATGAAAGTACGCCAGTGACTGACCTATTTTGCTGACGAGCTGCATGACCATCGACTGTCCGGCGATGGCCCACCGGACCTCGAAGGCCAGTTCCTCGTCCAGAACTTCACAGTTCAACTTCGTCTGCCACAAAAAAAAGAGAATGAAACTAACGTAAGAAACACACGGAAAGTTCGATACACCGATATCATGAAATCAATGCCTATCAATAGCAGCATCTATAAGTTCAGCTTTGCTTTGCCCGCCAAAAATACAGAGGTTAAGATGGAGTAATTGGTAAATGCCTGGCATTCGTGCATTTTGTCGGTGAATTAAAGGGATTTCATTACAAACATGTTGGACAGCATTGCACATACTCGTATTTGCAAGTCTTTGGCGTCCTTAAACACAAAAAAAGTTTCAAGCTCCTATTTTAGTTACTTGGTCTGGAAATGTGAGACAATGCTAACCACCTCGGCAACTCGCAATAATTGACTCATTGCTGACCTTTGAGATGCAAATGTGCTGACCCCCCAGATGGGAAAAAATTATTAGGTATATCTAAGACATTAGATCGGCATCGCATTCACTTAGCGTCTACAACATCGCATTCATGCCAGACGCGTTCTCCGGGCCGCCTGTGACCGAGAGAACGAGCTGAACTGACCGGCAGTATTCCGGTCCGCGGACCCCTGCGTCTCACCGGACGGCGGCGGCCCCATTGTGCCGGCCCTCCCTGCACCCCGCCGACTGGCCGACGACGCGCCCTGACCCTGACCCGACGTGACCCGGCCGACGGACGTGGTTCCGTTGCACAACAGACCGTCATCGCCTCGCTCCGCTTTCGGCACCGGATGCAATGGAAGAACGACCGCAGATGGGGAGATGCAGTTGGCAATGGGAACTGATAGCCCCACGGCCTTACACAGACGACTGACCTAGGCCAGCTCGTGCGGGGAAATGGGAACGGGAACTGGCTGCTCGTGCTGACTGCCGGCTGATAAGCTGATTGGATCGGTTTGCTAATTATACCAGAACATGATAAGAAAGCACAAGAAGATACAAGTATAGTTTTATCGGTGCTTAAGAAAATTGGAAGGCTCACATATCAAAAGATTATTGTTTGGAGCCATATCAGTGAAAGGAAGTCGGGGTGTGGTGTTGCGCGTTTAACCCTTCAGACGAGATAAGTGATTTATATGCAGTTTGGAAATATGAAGTGAAAATATTTCATAGTCTTCAGTATTGGAGCTGCATTTTCATATTTTGTCATTCGATCATTTTAAGCTCCTTACACCCTTGAACTCATACAGATGGACCCATTTTCCTATGCAAAGACAGATTGTGATCAGTATCGCTGTAGAGGATCGCGAATTGCGGACACTTTTCGGGGAAGTTTCCTCACATTTGACACTGACCTCACCCTCAGTGTGCACTATGCCCGTTAGTGTGCATTGTAATACTCATATGTCACCACTGAGGAAAACTTGGCGCGGCAGTACTTCACCGGCGACTGAGCTGTGTAGCAACTGACGTGTCAGCTTTTGTTCAGCGTCCCTCATGTGTGCCCTAATTGTCTGTTCCTTTCCCCGAGCCGGCAACCCCTCCCAACGAGTGGAGAGGGAGAGAGAGAGAGAGAGAGAGAGGGGGGAAGAGAGAGGTCGAAGGAGCTGAGTGACGTGGCAGTAGCGACCTCAGTAATGCGGTTATTTCCGAAATGTTATCGTTGCGACTATCGCGTCTCGGGAGATCGCATCACTGCGCCTTACAAAAAGTGCAATTTGGTGCGATGTCCACACTGCCTGGTGGTTGGGTAACCGGCCCGGAGGAAGGGAGGGGTCGGGGTGTGGGTGGGGTGACTGAGCGGCCTGCTCTGAACAGTCAGCCTCGCAGCGGGTGCCACTGAGACGTCTGGATCGCCGGCGAGGGCTGGCGGCCAATTACAAAGGCGCAGTCATATGAAAGGACAATGCAATGTTTCAGACTGCGGTGAGGCTCACGGCGGCGCCGTCCAGTTCAGTTTTGACCTGTCTCTGTTAAAAAAGCGTCTTGTGCAATGAACAGCGGCAGCTTGCATACGCAGCTGAAGAGATGGTCATTGGATTGCAACCTTGTTGACGTCCTGATATCTTCAAGCCCGTTACTTATGTATCTACATACATACATTAGTGCTCTGCAAATACCCTATATTGACACTAATGCGTGTTTGTATGCATTTTTGGTGAGTTAGAAACTGCCTTCCTGGGGCAACACGGACTTGCGGTGATTCGACCAAATGAGCTATGACTCGGTCTGAGATGCGACCAGCTCGTTCTCTATTCGAATGTACATATTTACCAGTTCACCCGACTGAATTCGACTATAGCTTGCACAGACCCAGAACTGTCTGACGAGCTTGTGCTGTTGTAGTCCGGACAAAAACTGAGGACTCTCGATGCATATGAGCTCATACTGAACTCGTGAACGGGCCATTGAATCAACACACATGTTTCTGAGAGACCGATGTCCCTTCTACAAACGCAAATAGCAGTGCAATCGTGCAATACCTATTTCTTTGTCGTACTACGTATCTCACCCCCATGGTGACTCTTTCCGTGTGTCTGGCCATGAGTCGTGCCTTTGAGAATACCAAAGTTTCGCAATGCAGGTTAATTGTGTGCGAGCCGCGATGTTGAACTGCATGATAGGAGAATGATTCAGCATCTTTGCTGACCGACCTCGCCCGGGACCGATTATATTCAACCACGGTCGGAGCATATGCCACGCTCAAAGACGGACAAAGCTGACGCGAATAAAGCTGTAATTGAGGAATGTAGCGACGTGTTGCGTGTGACAAGTAATCAGGACACCTTTGCGTTTGATACCCTACTCCACTGGCCCATTTCTAGCGTCCTAATTTCGCGCCATTGCATGATACAGCACTGTATAACACAAACAAAGGCGGTGTCTCTCTTTAAGATACAATTGTTCGCATGAACTGAAATTATCATGAATGGACACCACCGCTATTGTCGTCAGCATTTCTGTCAGACACCATTAAACACAAAAACGGAGCGCGACCGAGACAGACGGCTCGGTCACCATTCAGAGTGCGTTCTGGGAAACAATTGACGGCCGGCGCGCGGTACCACACCCTGAGGTGGCGCGTCGTTTAGCGGCCCGCCGCCCCCGGGGCTGATTGGCACACACCGCACCTGCCGCCGGGCGGGGGCGGGGGCGCGGTCACACTGACAGCAGCCCCGGTGGCCGCCTGGATACGCCCGGCCGACGACGGCTCAGGCGCGGTCGCAGCCGAGCTCAGCTGCGCGGCTGAAGGGCGGGGTCATGGCGACTCGGGAGGTCTGGAGATTAGCCGCGGTCGAGTGACAGGCTGTCAGGGGCAATTCTAACGGAGTTCTGACTGCTGGCTACGTTCAACCGAGAGAGCAATTAGGGTCGTTCCAATGTAACGTGGTCGGGCTATGGTTTTGTGCAGAGTATCGGGTGTCGTTCTACGACCATTAGCGTTCTGGCAAACTGACTACGTTCCTCTAATGTATTGTCGGGTGCAGTTCTGCTGAAGCGATAACATTCCACCGACTCAGGGTATTGGGCGTCATGCCTGTGATTTGTGAAGTTCTGTTGCTCCTGATACTCATTTAAGAAAAAAAATGAGCTGCCTTCAATATCATACCTATAGTCGGCGCCCTCCCATCGTCAATGCTTTAAACTCTTTGTGAAGAGATAGTAGAAAGTAGAAGTGGTCGTGTGGCCCTTCCCAATGGTGAAACCCACACAAAAAGCATGTTGTTGTAAAAATTGCACTTGACTGCGGTTACGTGATATTAATCCAATACTTTTGTCGGTCATGTCACTGAAATACTTCCACTTATCGCACGATATTTCTGGGTACAAAGCCCGGGAAGATTCATTCACCCACTCCAGGCAAACTAAATTGACATTTTACTCTAATAGGTTTCCATGTAAGTTTTAGGCCAGACACGTTGTGTCATTCTTACAATTTCTAGCTTATTGTTTTGAATGAATACCTAATGAAATGCAGTGACGTACCCAAGGGGGGGGGGCACGGGGGCCAAGGCCCTTGGTCGCCTGGAGGGCCCTGGTCGCCTGGGGCAGTGGGGCCCCTAGTCATCTGGAGGACCTGGTCGCCTGGGAACCCCTGGTCGTCTGAAAGTACGCTTATCACCTGATTGATCCCATATCATCTGAGTGGCTACTGGCTACTGGATATAAGTAGTGACTGGAGTAGGCACTCATCTGAAGGAGCCAATATCTTTCACAGTGCCGGAGATATCACAGAAAAACAAAAAGACTAAACTGAATACCCCCCAACCTTGGCCCCAAAGGCGTCATTGGCTAACACAGGGATGTGGGTCGATTTGCAATCGCATTTCCTCCTAAGTCCTATTCCTCCAATTAATACAGAGTGTCCCAGAATTACCCAAGCATTTATTTTCTGGCTTAAAGTACAATTGCGCTCGTTTCCTAGTGAAACATATAACCAGTATAGCGCCTTTTGGGGCGACTAACGGAGCGAGCGAGGGGGTGAGTCTTGCACGTGCGAAATTTCGAGGGGGTACCTCCAACTGACTTGTGCACGGCACCCTGCTGACTGGTCTCTAGCGATGTGCCAAATTTGGGCACAATCGGCCCAGCCGTTCTCGAGATCTGGAAGCGGCACCCTGCACGTGCGCACGTGCAAAATGGGTCCCAACTGACTTGTGCACGGCACCCTAGTAACCGGTCCCTAACTGTGTACCAAATTTGAGCGCAATCGGTCGAGCCGTTCTCGAGATCTGGAAACGACCCCTGCACGTGCGCACGTGCAGCGGCACCCCAACTCTGGCACATGGATATGCAGTGCCTAGTGGGTGCCTACCTACATGCCAACTTTCAGCGCAATCGGTCAAGTAGTTACCGAGATATTGCAACAATTACAAAAGTGACACCTCTTCGTTTTGCACGTGGCACGTGCATAAGCGGTCACCCACATGCATCGGGAATAGTCCAATACTTGGTAGAAGGAATGAAGCTACCCTACAAAAATTACCGCATGTAAATCGGTCAAGTGGTTGCTGAGATATAAGCCTCGCAAAAGCGTCCGCACGGCCGGCCGGCCGGCCGGCCGCTCATACTCAGAAATT